ATCTTTCAGTGGGCTGCAGAAAACAATATGAAGTTCAACGATGAGAAATTTCAATTACTCAGATATGGTAACATGAGGAAATTAAATCTTCATCAGAGTACAAAACAAATTCTGGCCACAAAATAGAGCTAAACACCAACGTCAAAGACCTGGGAGTGATCATGTCGGAGGATCTCACCTTCAAGGACCATAACATTGTATCAATCGCATCTGCTAGAAAAATGACAGGATGGATAATGAGAACCTTCAAAACTAGGGAGGCCAAGCCCATGATGACACTCTTCAGGTCACTTGTTCTATCTAGGCTGGAATATTGCTGCACACTAACAGCACCTTTCAAGGCAGGTGAAATTGCCGAGCTAGAAAATGTACAGAGAACTTTCACGGCGCGCATAACGGAGATAAAACACCTCAATTATTGGGAGCGCTTGAGGTTCCTAAACCTGTATTCCCTGGAACGCAGGAGGGAGAGATACATGATTATATACACCTGGAAAATCCTAGAGGGACTAGTACCGAACTTGCACACGAAAATCACTCACTACGAAAGCAAAAGACTTGGCAGACGATGCACCATCCCCCCAATGAAAAGCAGGGGTGTCACTAGCACGTTAAGAGACCATACAATAAGTGTCAGGGGCCCGAGACTGTTCAACTGCCTCCCAGCACACATAAGGGGGATTACCAACAGACCCCTGGCAGTCTTCAAGCTGGCACTGGACAAGCACCTAAAGTCAGTTCCGGATCAGCCGGGCTGTGGCTCGTACGTTGGTTTGCGTGCAGCCAGCAGCAACAGCCTGGTTGATCAGGCTCTGATCCACCAGGAGGCCTGGTCACAGACCGGGCCGCGGGGGCGTTGACCCCCGGAACTCTCTCCAGGTAAACTCCAGGAAGGAGGGAAATTTAAATAATATATCAAAGTTCCTAAAATATATAACTATATTAAATCTTATGCCTGTGAATAGAGGAGTGTACCAGGGTGGGGAAAGCTAGGATCAAGGTGGTGGTCTGAGGTAGAGGCGACGATTGTTTTGGATAGTTGGAGGGAAAGGGGCGAAGTATGATGGTGTTAAGGATGAAGGTAGGGGTGTAGGGGAGAGAATGAAGGGGAGAGTAACGGGTGCGACAGTATGCAAGGACGAGTGTGGAGGTAGTGGGGGTGGGAAAGAGGCGCGTGTGTGAGGGTTGGGGGTTATCCCTACCTATGCCAGCACCTTGGTCGAACTGCAGCTGACTGGACCTTAGCAGCAGGTACAACACAGCCCGGGAAGCCAGAATCTAACAAATATCTATCCAGCTAACTTAAGCTGTGAATGGCATTTCACTTCACTTACTCCACTATCCTGTGTCCCTAATCCATTTTCGAACAGCTTGTCCGTGTTCTAGCAAGCATATTAAAATTCTGTGTGACACTCATTCCTTTCCTTCCTCTATGATAGTCTTGAATTAATCTGCGGCAAATCTTTTTGCAAATATTTGAACTTTTTCTAACAATGCATGACCAGGAGAGTGCTCAGGGCACGAACTGCGTTGTCTTGACGGGGCGTTGCATACTTGAGATTTTCTGGATCTAATTTTTACATTTATTGAATCTTCTAGTTTTGCTCGCTATGTCACTTCTAACCTACACGAACCTCCTTAATTCTCTCAGATTTCATCTAGGATCTAATATTTTTTTGCTTTCACGACCATGAGCTGTGAATGCTGCCTTGGTGTTCATGGTAGTTCTAATATCTTGTCAGTCCCTATTGTTATGAATGGGTAATTTTAAAATTTCTGTATTATAGGCAGATCCTCCTATTATTTCTCCCAAAATTTAGCCCGAACCCTCTATATTTTGCTCCTGAAATCTTCAATGTGAATTCTCCTACCCTATATTTCTGGTATCTCATATCAGGTAAGATGCGTCCGATATAACCATTAATGTTATTCTGCTGTTACTTACGCATGTGGCCCATACATTTTCCTTCATTTTCATGCTCTGAGGGTCTGTCGGCATTTATAAATAGATTGTTGAAGCTCGTATGATTGATGCCACTGGATTTTGGAAGTGTCAAGAGGGGGGAAGGTAGGGGATGGTTTGAGTAAGTGGATGTACGAGCTGGTGGCAGGGCAGGGCAGCAACCAGGCTGTGATAGATATGTGGGGCAGCGGGCCTCCAGCAGCAACAGCCTGGTTGAACAGCTAACACCAGACAAGCCTGGCCCATGGCCGGGCTCAGTGTAGCAAGACTCAAAGCTCATCAAGGTTAAGGAGAGAGTTTCCAGTGTGTGTGAGAAGTAATTACATTCATGGAGAACTAAATCCAATAAGGAGGAGTTCCTTGGATCAGAGTCGTTCAAGGCACCACCTCCTGAGGGGACAGGTACATGAAAATGAGGGAGGTACTACCGGACGGGGGCTTTTTATTTTAATTAATGGAAAGGGTTAACTCAATCAGGGGTTCTTCAGAACCCGTAGAGACAAGTTCCAGGCAATGAAGGGAGATATTTTGATCCAGAGAATCAAAATCTCTTCACTGGTATCAAGGCACCTCACTTGAGGTGCGGACACAGGATAAATCAGGGGGAAGGCGCCCAGGAATGTCAAGGTGGGGCTTTGATTAGAGCACTGATCAGTCTCGAGTCAGGGAGAGTTCTTGCTTGGTCTGACGTCAGCTCATTCGTAAAATTTGCCTCTCTTCTGTTCGACAACTTCCCTAGCTTTCTCCACATCTCGTGTTAATAAAGAATCAATTTCATTACCCTCGGAACTGACGGGTTTGTGGCGAGAGCGTTACCAACCGAGCCACGGGACATAAGTGTCCATTTAAAATATTTATTAAGCAGCTCTGCTAGGAGTAATTAGAAAGCCAACCCACTCGTTAACCCTTGTATGACAACGTGTCATTCCTGGGTATTTCAATATATGCATGAGCGCGAGCGTTAAAAAAAAAAGTCCCCCATAGATGTGAAAATATTTCACTAAATGTGAAAGATTTTCTGTTGCTTCTTAATATTATCCAGTGCCATATTTAAAAAAAAAAAAGTTAAGAGTATTCTCACGCAAAGACGCACAGACACATGGCCATTTATACTACACATTAATTCCCATCTTTAAGAATGCAGTACCAGCTGGGAACGTGCACCTGCTAAGTAGGAACACGAGTGGAAAAGTAAGCGACGATGCTAGTTCCTGAGCTGTAAGGCCTTCAAGAGGAATTTTGCAAGGTGGAACAAGACCGTTTTGGGGCCCCTGGGGCAGGCCGAGGCCCCCCCCGTCTAAGTAATTTACATAATTTTTATAAATTACCTAAAAATAGTTGAAATAAAAAATAAAAAAAGTCAAAATAGAACGTCTAAAGCAATGGGGCCCCTTTAGAGATTCACAACCGGGCCCCGGACCAATTTACTGGTTGACCCCCACCTCATAGGCCCTGCCGAGCTATGAGGTACGAGTTATATGGAGAGGTTAAAGGAACAGAATCAGGGAAGGTACAAAATACGAAGGAATTTATGGTGTAGATGGGAGAAACTGAGATGGGGAAACAAGTGCACCCAGGACATAGATGTTAAAAACGAAAGAAATGATGTCATTAGTACTTCAGCAAAGGTGATCAGATTGTGAACAAAAAACCTGGGTGAAGTGAAAGCAGGATCAGTATGGAAAAAAAGTGTGATAGGTACCACAAGGCTAGGAAGGAGCCTCTCCAAGCAGCAAGTTGAGAGGAAGGGCCAGGAGCCAAGACTCAACCCCCACCCCCTCCTTGCAGTCATGAATGCATACAAGTACAAATACCTATAACTTCCTACCAGGAAGACGTAATGACACGATGCAAACAAACCATACCACGGGCGGGGATAGAACCCGCGATCAGAGTTATAAAACTCCAGACCGACGCGCTAGCCACTGGGCCAGCTGGATATAAAAAAATTCACCAACTAGGTACATTTATACACCATAGGAAGGTTAGCATAGGCACCACTGAGACCGCAAATGCATAAATATACCTAGTTGGATGAATCTTATTCTAGCCAGCTGGCCTAGTGGCTAGCGCGTCGGTCTGAATCTTATGACTCTCTGATCGCGAGTTCTATGCCCACCCATGATGGTTTTTTACCAGGAAGTTACGCCTGTTCGGGTAAGATCCACGTTCATAAGTTAAAATAACAATATTGAACTTCAGTATGACAGCCATCATGAGTTATACATGATCTCTTACAGTCATAAGTATTTCAGATTTCTGATTAAGCATAAAGAGTTCGGTCAGCGTTAATTAATGTAAGTCAGTCATCCGAGATTCAGCTTTTTTACGAATGATTTTTTTTCAGCAGCATGAAATAAATTAAACCCAAGGAGTAATTAATTTTAAATAAAAGCATTACATTTGCTTAACAAGAGATTTTTATTCATTTTCAGAGATAAGATTTATTCCATAAAATTTAGCTACAAATTTGGAGTAACAAACAGAATTAAAAAAATACTGCTTAGACCATACTGCAAATCTGAATTATCACGGGGGAACGCTAAACGCGTAGGGATTATACAATGCCTGGGTGGAGGGTATGGAAGGCATACAGGCTGAATTCAGGGAATTGAGCCCGGATCCAGTTCCCTAGATCAAGAACCCTTCACCAGCATCAAGGAACCTCCCTTCAGGGGCTAGAAATCCGAGAATATCCCACCTAGGATGAACGACAGTAACAAAATACAAGTTAGCCAGAACATTATGCTCTAAATCATAATACTGAAGAAACATACTTGGAGTAGAGGTATGAAATAACCAGCGAACTATACATTAATTAGAAAGCCTAGACTGTACACCGTCTCAGCCGATACCTTAACTCAAAACATACATGACAACACAGCCTAGCTGTACCCGGTGAAAATTTTTAGAAAAAAATTACACGTCTGCCTTTCAAACAACGTTCATAGAAACATGATTCAACAGTATCGGAGGCTGTGACACATAGAACAGAATACTCAAAATAAGCTGATAGAAATTTAAGTTTACAACTTACAACAAATCAAAGTGTCGAGTATGATGGGAGTTAGTTAGACCATGTAGAGTAGACACTTGTCAGGTCACCCAGCAGGAAGCCCAGGTAACCCATGGTCTCAATCCCAATGTGACTTTTAGTTAAGCACACAAGTGATCACCGCCGCCAAGAGAGCACTATGGATCCCTGGATAATGGGTTTTAAAGCCCATCCACTACACTAGGGTCATTACGGCTGCACGTATCTTACTCACTATCAGATAAAAATATTGTGATCCCTAAAATAGGAATCAAAGTAATCTCTCAGTATATATACTCTGAGAGAAACGCACATCTCCATGAATATATCGTGTGAACCAGCCCACTCCCAGTGGTTCTCTACACCCAACTAAAGAATGATAATATGAGAGCAACCAAGCAGTACCTCACACTCCACCCGCCTGACAGCAGTGGTAGTTAAGGCTAACTGTAGTTTGCTACTGCTGGTACATTTCTCCCTACACAATATATTTTCTATTGAACCTTTATGAGCGAAAATGTAACAGGACATAAACCCAGGATAACCCCTCCCCCCCTCCTTCCCCATCTAAAAATAAAATAATAAAGCTTAAAGCTATCTATGTACTTTATTCACGCGTGAGTTATGTTAGTTAGTATCATTATTCTAACTGTTACATAACGGTAAAGTGCTTATAGTAACTATCATAATTAATAGAAAACAAATTATGCTAAAGTGTGGAAGATTTACGAAATATTCTACACGCACACACACATACACACACACACACACACACACACAGAAGGGTCAGGGGAGACATGATAACGACATACAAGATACTGCGGGGAATAGACAAGGTGGACAGAGATAGGATGTTCCAGAGAGGGGACACAGGGACAAGGGGTCACAACTGGAAGCTGAAGACTCAGACGAGTCACAGGGACGTTAGGAAGTATTTCTTCAGTCATAGAGTTGTCAGCAAGTGGGAATAGCCTAGCAAGTTTAAGTAAATGGGGGCAGGAACCATACATAGTTTTAAGAAGAGGTATGACAAAGCTCAGGAAGCAGAGAGAGAGAGGATCCAGTAGCGATCAGTGAAGAGGCGGGGCCAGGAGCTGAGTCTCGACCCCTGCAACCACAATTAGGTGAGTACAATTAGGTGAGTACACACACGCACACACACACACACACACACACATACACACCCACAACACACACACACACACACACCACACCACACACAACAAACACACACACCCCACACACACAACACACACACACATGGGGCTAGGAGCTATGAATCGACCCCTGCAAACACAACTAGGCGAGTACAAACACTCAGCCAGGAGCTGAGTCTCGACCTCTGCAACCACAAATACGTGAGTACACACACATGGGCTAGGAGCTATGAATCGACCCCTGCAAAACACAATTAGGTGAGTAACACACACGCACACACACACAAAGACACATACACACACACACTACAACCACACACACACACCACACACACACACACACACACACACACACACACACACACACACACACACACACACACACAAAGACACACACACACACACACACACACACACACACACACACACACACACACACACACACACACACACACACACACACACACACACACACACACACACACACACAAGCACACACCGAATAACCCATAAATCGTCAGCGTCTGACATCACACTGGGGGAAAAAAAATGACCCAGACATAATCAGACGAAATCTGAATCACTACAAATTCTCTATTTTGATGAGCAATTAATTAGGATTTGTTGTTTGGCTGGGCTAAACTTATATTGGTACGACCTGGTTTTGGCCTGTGTTCCCTTCCAATATTTACCATATTTAACATTCTTAAGCAACAGAGGATGCTTAAAGAAATTGCTTTAAATTTCAGGCGCAGGATGTTTATAAATGGAGGAATCTGCTCTTCAACCTATTATTATTATTATTATTATTATTATTATTATTATTATTATTATTATTATTATTATTATTATAACTAATATTATTTTCATTTTCACTTATTTCAGCTTTTATTTATTCATTTATTTATTATTATTATTATTATTATTATTATTATTATTATTATTATTATTATTATTATTATTATTATTATGATCGGGAAACGCCAAACCCCCGTAGAGGTCACACGGAAAGTGGAGGGTAACACTATTTTCTTGGATCAAAAACCCACCATCAGCATCAAGGTGTCCTTCTCGAGGGGATGGAGAACCTATATGTTCCTCGAGCTTCGTCACTGCTTCCTTCCTGCCTTAAAACTCGCCTACACAAATAACCAGCAGAAACCCGAGTGAAACTTGTGACAACGTTTCGGTCCGACTTGGACCATTAACTAGCCACAGGTGTGACTAGTTAATGGTCCACATTGGACCGAAACGTTGTCACAAGTTACAGTCTCTTAAGGACGGGGTTATTTGTGTATTGTTCCAGTCACGGTATTGTGACTTTTTATTCTGTTTTAAACTCTCCTCTACTACCATCACTCCCAATGTCACAGTGATCTTCCTTTTGTCTTCTTCCTCTTTCGTTAATCCTCCCGCCTACCTTCCTTCCCTCCCTCCCTCCTACCTTCCTTCCCTCCCTCCCCCTACCTCCCTTCTCTCCCTCCCTCCTACCTTCCTTCCCTCCCCCCCTCCTACCTTCCTTCCCTCCCTCCCTCCTCCCTTTCCCTTCCCCTCCCCCCCCCTACCTTCCTTCCCTCCCCCCTCCCTCCCCCCCTCCCTTCCTTCCCCCCCTCCCTCCCTCCCTTCTTCATCCCCCCAATAAACCACAGTATAACACAGTGCGAATCATAATTATTTATAAAGCAGGAAAAAAAAAAAACCTACGTTCGTCTTGGGTATTATTAGCCAGGTGTTGTCGGTGTAGTGTACTCCCCCACATGTACTTCTTATCTGGTTCAGGGGTGAGTCACAGCCCCCGGCCCCCGCCTCTTCGATGGTCGCTACTAGATCCCTCCCCTCCGGCTAAAAGACCCTTTTTCCCGACCTTTTTTAAAAGCTAGGATGGACCCCTGTGTGGGTGGTTGTGTGTGTGTGTGTTTGTGTGTATGTACTCACCTAGTTGTACCACCTAGTTGGGGTTTGCAGGGGTCGAGTCAAGTCCGGGCCCCCTCTTCCTGGTCGCTGCTAGGCCACTCCCCCTGAACCAGAGCTTTATCTACCTTGCTTAAAGCTTGTGTGGCCCTTCCCTCCACTCTCGCTTCCCAATATTCCACTTCCTGACATCTTGGCTGAAAAAGTACTTCCTAACACCCCGTGTTCTCTGTGTCTTCAATTCCAACGTGTCCCCCTTGTTGCTGTGTCCCATCTGGGGAACACCCTGTCTTTGTGTGTGTGTTTATGTGTGTATGTGTGTGTGTGTGGGTGTTGTGTGTGGTGGGTGTGTGTGTGTGGGGTTGTTGTGTGTGGTGTGTGTGGTGTGTGTGTGCTGGTGTCAGTGAAACATGTGTGTTGTGCATGGGGTTCCAAAGGGGGGGTTGGTGCCCTCTGAACAGTCATTCACTTAACAGACAAGAGTAAGGGAACCAGTGGGTCCCTTGTATACTCCATCACTAGACACTTCCTCCGTCACTTTCACTGTTTCCTTCAATACTTCTTGTCTGTGAAAATTCCTTTACTCCTAGTGTCTTTCCCCTATTAAGTGATTTAGGGAAAAATTGATCTCAAGATTTAATTTTGCAAAAAAGAATACTGCCCACCTCCTACCTAGACTGACAGCTGAAAGCCAAAAACTATTTTTTTTGACGTCTCCACTTTTGTATTCGACTGAAGAAATCACTGTCGGGTAAAAACGTTGCAGCAATAAAGATCCCCAATTTTGTGATGTGTCTTATTGATAAAACTTGTTGATATTAATTACCTTTATTATTAAATAAATTCGAGGAAATTCGTAATGTAAAAACCCCCGTCCCCAATCCCTTTTTGGGGCTTCAAAGGCAATTTCTCTTAAATATCCAAAGGGGGGGGGTTTAATGTTGCATTTTAAAAACTGTAGTGAAAAGCACCCTTCTGGAAGACAGTGGGGAGTGAAGATGGTGAAATTTTTTTTCTTTTTCGGCCACCCTCCCTTGGTGGGACCGGCCAGTTTTAATAAAATAATAAAATAATAATAATATATTTTTTACATCATATATGTGAGTGAGACAGTGTAAGGTAGGTTTTCTTGGCGATATTTTGGGGACGATATGGGATTTTTGTTATTTTTGTTGTCATCGTTGAATGGTAGTAGTAATAGTAGTTTTAGTAGTAGTGATAGTGTGGAGTGTAGTATAGTAGTAGTAGTAGGACTTTATTAGTGTAGTTAGTAGTAACATAGCAGTAGTAGTAGTTTAGTTGTAGTAGTAAAATAGCAATAGTAGTAATAGCGGGTTTAATATTAATAGAAGTGATAGTAAAATATTAACAAAGTTTTATGAGCAGACTACGTCTCCAAATCAAAAAGGGAGTGGTTCCCCCTAGACTTTACCCCCCACCTACACTGTTGCCAACGTTGCAGTTCCCCCGTTAAACCTAATGTGCAATTTTTTTGTTTTTTTGGAATGATTTCTGGGCTGGTCACTCCTTTATCACCTTTTTTTTTCCTTCATTCCCCAAACCCCACTTTTCCCCTCACTTTTGGAACACCTTTTAAAATTTAGAGCTACAAACCTTCGTGGGTGCTTGAGAATCCCATTATCAAACACGGTACGGGTGGTTCTAACCCACCCGTCTGTGGTTGCTTGCTATCGTAATTACTATTTCATGTCTTCAATTATCCCGCTGAACTTTTCCGTTGAGGCGCAGATATCATCACTTGATGTATGATGGAATATAACAAAAAAAAAGTGGTTAACTTTTATCCCCCCCTAAAAGGCATCAACAGTCCCAGTAGCAGCATTTTTTGAAGTATTCTTTCTCTTTAAAATTTAAAAAATTTAAACAAAAAAAAGGGTGGTCGGCCCTTAAAACTTCCACCTCCCGGGAGGTCGTAGGGCCCCCTGGATTCTTCATCTTTGGGCGAAAGCCGCCGACTCATAAATTAAATATGTTCTACAAGGCGGCAGATAAGCAATTTGGGAGAGGTGGCAGCGCCACCTTGACGGGTTTTTGTCTCGCTTTCTCAAAGGGGCTCCCGTTCCCCCCAGGGGCAAGAACACGTCAACGGGAGACTTGCAAGTGAACTTTTGTGTATATTGGAGTGATATGCTTTTAAAATTTTCAAGTAAAGGGTTTGGGGGGAGTTCCCTTCCTTTCTCCGGGACTTTTAAGAGCGTTGATTTTGCAGGGCCTGGGCCATGATCTGTGGTTTCCCGGCTTCAAGAGGTGTTCCCCCAATATGTCCAG